TCACCTGTAAGCAGCAGATGAGCAGTGGCATGTGAGCGATGATCACTTTACTGGAGGTTTTGGACTGAAGTTTCTCTGACAGTTTAGTGCATAGATTCTCAGCTCCTGAAAGAGGAACAGCAAGAGAAAACAAAATGAATTATTTTATTCAGTAATGTGCAAACTTTTTGCAGCACTTTCCAGAACGCAGACACCAACTCCAAGCCAGATGTGACACATTTATTACTGACATTAATGACAATGACAGGATCTTATTAACTGGATGCTGAAAAGTGACCCAGACTTGATGTGAATTTGCAGCAATTTCAGTTTTTTTTGCTACATTACCAACAAAAGCAGCCTAAAACAATGACTAAATGCCTACTTGACTGTTGATCACTGATATTTTAGTATTATTTATATACTATTATAGTATTTAATAATACTTTTTTTATATATTCATATAATATATCATATATATTTCATATATTTTGTTATGATTTTCATTTTAGATTAAGTTTTAGTAATTGTTATTAGTTTTTTTAATATTTCTATTTAGCCTAAATTTATTTTTATTTCAGTTTTATAAAATTTCATTTTAATTCAGTTAGTTGCCAAGGCAACATTTTTCATTTACTCTTTAATAATCATTTGTCTTTTTTTTAATTATTATTACTAACCATTTCCATGACGTTTTTTCACAAACAATTTATTTTTCTTTACTTTTTTTTACTCTTTAATAATCATTTGTCTTTTTTTTAATTATTATTACTAAACATTTCCATGACGTTTTTTCACAAACAATTTATTTTTCTTTACTTTTTTTGGCATTTTTAATAATTCATTTATATTTGTTAAAGTAATTTTTTCAATAATTTATTTTTATACAAAATAACAAAAGCAGTCAAATGCACTTAAAAATGTCAAATGAATTTCTGGCATATTATTTCTATTAATTTATTTTTATTTATGTGTTTCCTAAAAATATTTGTTTATTTTTGTTCACTTACATGTTTTTCAAAAATTATTTTTCTTATTTGTTTTAAATGACAAACATTTTTGCATATTTTTTCAAGAATAATTTATTTTTATTTTCGTTATTTATTTAATAATTTGTTATTTACTTGCACACTCATCAATTGTTCATAATAAAACCAAAAAAAGTGCATGATCAAAACAGAGTGGGTTTTGATTTCAGAGTTTACATAGATTCTTTAGTTTCAAAGTGTCTACATAGAAATTGACGTTCGAATATAATAACACAATCCCAACCAGATAAACCTCCACGGGAGTGTGACAACATGCCCCGGTGCATCCTACTATATGACCTGGAGACGCTGCAGTGTGTGTTTGTGCTGCAATGATTGACAGGATCTAAACCTTGCTCATCTTTGACGGCCCACACCATGAGGTCCACACAGGCTGCGTTGGCATGACAACGGAGCTTGAGAGGACTGGGTTCCCCTGGCAACCGTTCCTCACGGAGAACCCTCTGGATCTCTGATTGGCTGCTGCTGAACTGCTCCAGAACGAACTCATTAACCTCCTTAACGAAGCTCGTCTGCACATCTGACCAGAGATTCACATGAAACGATCACATACAGCAAAGGTCAAAGAGCCTTCAAAGACATTATCAAACACAAACATTAAAGAAGTGTTCATTTAAGCTAAATAATGGCTGGATTTCAGCAACCTTTCATGTAATAGAGCGTGTCTCGCAGCATCTTGAACATGCTGACGTACAGCGGGTCGCTGAAGGCTTTGTAGAAGAGATCCATGCCTGGATTTGCCTTCATTAATGGAGGAAATAAAGGAAGGGGGAAATCAGGACGAACAAAACAAGCAAACAGGCTTGAGCATCTGGTTTGTGAATTTATTAAATATTAATTAAATATTAATGCAGCAGGTCAAGTGCAAATCCTATTAAATGAAACGTGTGTCTTCACCTCTGTAACCTCAGACACGACAGCGTCCAGAGTCTTGAGGAACGAATCGGAGACAAAATCCTTCACCTGCGGAAACAACAGTGAGATATTAACAGGGTTATAAATCAATATTTGGAGATTTTGGGGATCATTATTGGCCAATGACACTTGGTTAATTATCAGAAGTGTTAGTTTTCCTACTGACATCTCATTTTAATGAATTACACTGCTCTGCATCTTGATAGAAAATTTCTGCTAATTTGCAAAAAAAAACTTAATATTATGTAATTTGATGGTGCAGCTCAGAAAATATTTCGATGACTTTTTTTCACAAACAAACATTTTTTTTATTTACTTAAATTATTGGAAAAAAAAGAAATGTGCAAAAATAATTTGACATTTATTTATTTATTTTTTTTCTTAAAAAATATGTTAGTATATATTTTTCAATAATTTATTTGTATTTAAAAAAAATTATAATTTTAAATACAAAATAACAAAAGCAGTCTCATTTATCATTTAACTTGCAATCTGCAAAGGAAATCAGGATTAAAGAAAATAATGAGTCAAATATGCTGAGAATTGAATAAATAGCTGTAATCTGGCTCAGATGAAGACAGGAATCGTGTTGTGGAAGCTTTTCTGATGACTAAGAGATAATTCAAGACTTCTTCACCTTACAAATGGTTGGTGAAAGCAAAAATGCTACGAAATGCATCATATTTAGTAAAAACACGACGTGACAAACAGGCACAGTTTTGGAATTTATTCAGCAAATATAATGAAGGGTGTGTTATAAATAATTTTTGTCAAGTAAATAATAAATAAAATAAACATTAATTTTCACTATTTGTGAAATTTACAAGCAATTTCTGAATGAAAATAGTAAAAACATTCAGTATGGTTAATGTTAAACAAAAACAGTGTTATTGTAATCTATAGAAATTTTTTTCGTTTATATATATATTATATATATATACACACATATATACATATACACACACACATAATATATATATATACTGTATATACACACACACATATATATATAAATATATATATATATATACTGTATATATAAACTAATAAAAATGACCAAACTTCACCATGTACAAATGAGTATTAAATTGTCTATCAGCTGCTCTACTCTAAAAATATCATAGGCTTTATTTTAAAAACTCATATTTGCACAAAAGACCAATATTCGGATGCACGCTTATGTATTTTCTGCCAAACGCTATGAGGAGCTCAGTAAGTGTGTACCATCTGTAAGAGGCGTCTCAGCAGCTCTAAAGGGACGTTTATTTCTTGTCCGCTGTCTCCAGTGCAGAGAGGAGAGATGGAGAAACTGGAGCTGACCGTCGTGAAGTAATAATCTGGATTCACCACACCGCCATCCGCCAGATACGAACCTGACAAAACAACATCAGACAACCAGATTTACGAAAACACTCTGGTTTTATGGTGCATCAGATCAAACACTGCAGGACTTTAACACTGTGCTAGAGGTTTGAGCACATCACTCATACTGTCAAAAATGTCTTCTAAATATTGGACAATAAACTTAATTCAGCAGTGACTCAAGCAAACAGAATTAAAACAAAGAACGGCTAAAACACAGGAGCCTATTGAGAAAAAAGAGCTCTGAATCTGCTGAAGAATGTTGAGATGGTGAAAGCGCTTGTTCAGAGATTAGAGTCGTGACACGGCGATTACCTTCAAAATACTGTGGTCCTGGAGCTGTGGGAGAGCAGGGCGACGGTCCTCCTCTGTCCGGACTCACCTGTGAACACAACCCAGGTGTGAGGACTGCTAATACATACTGCCATACTGCTCATACTAATCCTTTATTACACACTAGGGCTGTCAAAATGGCTGAAAAACTAAATTCGAATTATATTCGAATTTAAAGTCCCCATGAAATCAAAATGGCTCAACGATTTTTTTGACGTCACATCGTACTTCATCTTCTCATCAAATCTTCCGACCAATCAAATGCGCTCTAGAAACCGAAGCGCCCGCCCCCTACACTATAAATACACAGTGTAGTATTTCCTGTACAGTGAATGGCTCGAAGTGTACAATGTAGGCGATAGGGAATGATTCAGATAGTGTAAATATGCTAACGTTTTTGCATTAGAATGTGGATTTTTATTTTAAATTCGACGAATATTCGAAAAAAATTTTGACAGCCCTATTGCACACTGTATACTGTGCCCAGATTGTGAATAATTCCGTACACAAAGAATACCTGGATGACCTACTACTTTGTTCACCAAAATGTGCAGTTCACAACCAATACTATATCCCACAGTGCAACTTGACCTTTTTACAGTATAGAGCATATTTAACAACATTTATAATATTTTTTAGATCAGACCATCATGGGGATAAGACATTTTTTCACTTTTTTTTAGTTAAATATTTTTGAAAACTATTTAACTAATTAATTTTTATGTACTTTTTAAAACATTCAATAATTATTTTTGCATATATTTTTTCAATAATTTATTTTTATTTACTTCTTTCTTAACTTTTGCATGTTGTTCAATAATAATTTATTTTTAATTTTTCTAAAATAATTTTTTCATGTTTTATTCAGTTATAATTTATTTTATTTACATTTCTAAAACTACTTTTGCATATTTTCAAAAAATAATTTTCAATTACTTAATCAAAAATTACGTTTGTATATTTTTCAATAACAATTTATTTTATATATACTGTATATATAATTGATTTAAAATATTTTGCATTTTTGTCAATGATCATTTCTGTTTACGTATTTTCTCCAAAAAATTTTTGCATACTTTTCAATAATAATCTACTTTAATTACTTCATTATTTTTGCATATTTTGTTTGATGATAATTACTACTTAAAAAAAAAAAACATATCAAACATTATTTTTGCACATTCTTTCAATACTCATTTACTTTTATTTTATTTTATTCATTTTTTTCAATAGTTTTTTTTTTTCATTTATTTACTTCCATTTTTTTCATATGTGACCCTGGAGCACAAAACCAGTCTGAAGTCGCTGGGGTATATTTGTAGCAATAGCCAAAAATACATTGCATGGGTCAAAATTAACGATTTTTTATTTATGCCAAAAATCATTAGGATATTAAGTAAAGATCATGTTCCATGAAGATATTTTGTAAATTTCCTACCGTAAATATATAAAAACTTAATTTTTGATAAGTAATATACATTGCTAAGAACTTCATTTGAACAACTTTAAAGGAGATTTTCTCAATATTTAGATTTTTTTGCACCCTCAGATTCCAGATTTTCAAATAGTTGTATCTCAGCCAAATATTGTCCTATGGAAAGCTTATTTATTCAGCTTTCATATGATGTATAAATCTCAATTTCGAGAAATTGACACTTATGACTGGTTTTGTGGTCCAGGGCACATATGTATTTCACATTTTTTGGGTATCTTAGATGATAACCAGATGCAATTCGCTGAATTAAACAATGCAAAGTGGTCATGTGACAACACGTAAAATACATTTTGTTTAAACGTTTAGCATTGCATAAAGCATACTTTTGCACACTAAAAACAGTATTCAATGATTCCGCACACATCCAGAGACAGAGAGACAGTGCTGACCTGTGCGTCAGGGTTGGCGATGCCGCTCTTGCGTCTCAGCGTGTCTCCCTGACAGACCGTGAGCAGTGAACTGGGCAGAATGGAGCGGAAGTCATTGAAGGATCTCCTCCGAATGCCCTCGGTCTCCACAGACACGCGCTGAACCAGCGGCGGTGCTCCTCGAGGGAACAGCTGAGAGAGGAGGGGCTCGTCGCCGTTACCATAGCGACCGAACGCTCGGGCCACGCCCAGAAGACACGGGACAGCATACCTGCACAGGTACACTGACGAGACAGGAAGTGAGTCACCCACGAACCCAAACGTGTGTTTGTGATGAGCAGCAGAGCTCAGATCACCTTTATCATGGTTCTCGGGCGTCTGGCAGATCTCCAGCAGAGACTGCATCACTTCCATCACAGCTTCCAGAATCTGGACAGAAAGAGGTTAAATGAGTGCGAAGGTAAGGTAAGACGGAAAGGTAGAAACGCACTGAAGATCAGACCTGTGAGCGAGACTCGGGGTCTCTCTGAGCGACGTCAGACAGGAGCGTCACCAGACAGAAGCTGAAGTTTTCCGCCATTGGGAGAGTCTCTGTGAGGATATAAAACACAAGCTTGATTTTACAGTGTCTATATATATATATATATATATATGGAAACACTTCAGATAAAGTGTTTTATTATGAGTCTATATAACCACCCCAAGGCAGGACAAACAGAGCTTAATATACACAAGTACAGAGAACACACAGTGCATTCAAATGTTTTGGAGTTGGTAAGATTTTTTTAATGTTTTTGAAAAAAAAAAAAGTCTCATCAAAGCTGCATTTATTTGATAAAAAATGCAGTAAAAACAGTAATATTGTGAAATATCATTACAATTTAAAATGCATGTTTTCTATGTGAATGTTCAAATATAATGTGTCTTTACTGACACTTTTGATCAATTTAATGCATCCTTGATGAATAAAAGTATTAATGCCTTTAAAAAAATAAGATAAAATCTTACTGACCCCAAACTTTTAAACAATACGTTTGCATATCCAGTAATGTACTTGACAAAAATGAGCTGGTACCTTTACACTTCCTCCCAGCATTCTCCTCCACCCATTGCACTCTGGGTAATCCCTTCAGCAGACTCAACAGGTAACTTACCACAGTGTCTTTGTGCTGAGAAAGACAAATATCATACATGAACCATGTGCTGCAACAGGTACAAATATTTTGATGACAGTCTACATCAGAATATACATGCAAATCAAATCCAAAATCTATTTATATTAAAATCAGATGCTTCAAAAAGACAACAAATGTCACATTGCATTCATCATGTTTGTACAGGGAAATTATGTAACATCAAAAATGTCTTCACCCTCAGATCATCCGAGATGCAGATGAGTTTGTTTCTTCATCAGGTTTGTAGAAATGTAGCACTGCATCAGTGTCTCAGCAATGGATGCTCTGCAGTGAATGGGTGCCGTCAGAATGAGAGTCCAAACAGCTGATAGAAACATCACAATAATCCACAAGTAACACTCCAGTCCATCAGTTAACATCTAGAGAAGACAAAAGCTGAAACAAATGCATCAGTAGTTCGTTTTTAACTAAAATACGAGTCCATAATAATCCATAATAACTCTTCCTCCAGTGCATCTCCTGTTGTCTCTCACATCAAAATCCAGCCACATATTTGTTTAGAGCTGTTTAAACGCTGCTTGATCTGTGCAGATTTCTCTCCTGATTCACACCAGAACACTTTTTCACTGAATTATGGACTCGTATTTTAGTTACTCGTATTAACTAATTAATTATGGATTTGTTTCAGCTTTTGTCTTCTCCCGATGTTAACTGCTGGACTGGAGTGGTGTGGATTACTTGTGATGTTTTTATCAGCTGTTTGGACTCTCATTCTGACGGCACCCATTCACTGCAGAGCATCCATCGCTGAGCAAGTGCTGGAATACTATACATTTCTCCAAATCTGATGAAGAAACAAACTCATCCTAATCTTGGATGGCCTAAAGGGTGAGCACATTTTCAGCAAATTTTCATTTTTGTCTGAAGTATTCCTTTAACCAGCCTGTACCTTTAATCCGGCTGTGATCACATTATCTGCTTTAGCAGTGATTTTCTCTCATAAACCCACTCAGCAGCTGGAAAGCTTCAACACACACACGCTTAGCTATTTGAGGACGTTCCCAAAGGGAGGTTTTGTCATATTTAGCTAACATCCAGGGACAATTTTGTCCTCAAAATAGCTAACACACACACAAAAACACAGCTGCACTTGTGAAAGACACTCATGCTAATAATCAACCTCAGTCACCTGTAAATCAGACTCGACCAGAAATACAGCCAATGCAATCACAGCATCCCTGCGGCGGACATCCAGAGTGAAGACGCCGCGGCTGTCGCATGGACACATGCATAATAACTTCTGCACCTGATGAAAAGAGACACGCTTTCATCAAGAGACACTCGAATCTGCTTTCCTATTCTTATCAGCAGACACGAGCAGTGACAATGCTGCTGATAAAAAGCTCAAGTTAAACAACTTCCCTCTCAAGAGATATAAGCAAACCGATCTATCTGGCATCTGCAGAACTAGAGCAACCCGTTGAGAGATTCCCGCATGATTTGAGAGCATGCATGTGTGGGGAATTCATCTGCTCATAATCATACAACAACATGACGATTACTGCCGCATGCAGCGTTTTTAAACAGTGGCAGATGTTTGCCTGCAGTGCACAAATGCATGAGAAGAAAGATGAATCTGTCACGCAGGCGTCTGCAATGCAATGCATTTCACAAGAGTGCAAAAGCTGCTATTGCATGAGTACTAGAACAGTGTCAGAGCAAATGTGTAGAATAGAAAGAAAGGCTTTCATCGGCGCTGCAGGCACAAGCTGGCACCATTTAGCGCCTGTAAAAGCCTCTGGACATGTGACAGCTCTGAACTGCTGCATTTGCTTTTCCCTTCAATATACCAAACATAATATCCAAAATTGCAGTCGTTTTAGAACAGGTGTAATGCATTTGTTCAGTTCAACCCCCATGTTTCATGTTTCCAGATCAAGGTCAAATATATGGCCTTTGAAAAAAAAAATCTTATTATTTACATTTGCTTTTCCCTTCAATATACCAAACATAATATCCAAAATTGCAGTCGTTTTAGAACAGGTGTAATGCATTTGTTCAGTTCAACCCCCATGTTTCATGTTTCCAGATCAAGGTCAAATATATGGCCTTTGAAAAAAAAAAATCTTATTATTTATGTTTTCCAGTACAGATATATAAACATTCTTAAATCAAGATACATTTACTTGAGAAGCAAAATTATTTCAGATATGAAGTCTTGTTTTATGAAAAAGTATTAAAATGAAGTGAGCTCATCCTTAAAACGAGGGTTATTATAGTTAACTAAAACCATATAAACATTTTCGTCACTTGAAACAGATGTTAACTAATATAATACAAAATAAAAAATATTATAGTTGCAAAAAGCAACATTTCTCATTTTCATTTAGTTTAGCTTGACATACTAAAATAACTAAAACGAAAAATTAACAAATGCATTTATATAAAAATTTATAAATTCATAATATTAATCAATTTAATTTAATAAAAAAAATATATGGACATGAAACAAAACAATGAATTTAAAAAAAATGCACAACAAAATTACTAAAACTTGAAAATTAAAATTTAAATAATAATAACAATAATAGTATCTCAAATATACTAAAATAACACTGCATTAAAAAAAATTGTCAGTGGGGTCAGAAAAATAAACTTAATTCAAAGTGAAAACAAGATTATTTTTCTGAGCCCATTGTCATATTTTTTAATCCAAAACTCACGTAATTTTGATGCATTTTTCAGAAAACTACATTTAAACCAATCTGCTTCTCAAATAAATGTATCTTGATTTAACCACTGTTTAGCTATTGAGCAATAAATTCACTTTTTGCATTACGCATCAAGTAAATGAATATGGCAATAATGCTGTGCCATGTTATATTTCAGATGACCAAAATATGACTGTAAAAGTCAACCAAAACAAGCTGAACCCAATACAAGCACAGTGTTCGGATGCAGTTGTTGCACTGCAGCCTGTTGACACCTGTCGCATACAATACCTCACAATAAACCAGCGCAATAAGCGTGTCGTACCTTCTCTCCGGGCGCTGGTCGGTGCGCTGCCAGAGAACGCGCGAGCGACAGAACCGTGTTGAAGTAGAAGTCGCGCGTCGCCATGATTCACAACGCGACACGATAAATTGAAGACGCGCAATGATTTCTGCAGCAGCCTCAGCCTGTGAGCGCAATACGGAAAGAGTGAAGGCACAAATAACATCCGCTGGAGAGCGCGAGACGAGGCGAGGCGTGTCTGCATTAAAGCATCATCAGAACGTAGTTTATCTTATTGGCTCATACAGCTGATGAATGATATTTACACACAGCTAATGGAGAGGGGGTTTATAAACGTGCTGTCATTCATTTTAGGCTTTGACGGCTTTATCTACTCTATACTGAGAACACGAGAGAGAAACTTCAAAATCTACAATAGAGTATTGGCTAAAATATATATTTTTACATTTGATTGCGATTTTTTGTATTTCTGTAATATTCCTTTGTAATATATATGCATATAAATAAATATGTATAATGATTAATAATTTATGAAACGATTATTAATAACAATAACGGCATAATAATATTAATAATTCATATAACAGTATTGATCATATTTACTAGTAGTCATATTTTTATGTATATCAATAATTATTTATAAAAATTAAATGTATTATTATTGTTGTTATTATTACTTAATATTAATAATGAATAATTAGTATTAGTAGATGTAATATATAAGTATTTTTTATATTTTTGTAGTATTTCTGTAATAGTAATACTTATAAATAAATACGTATGATGGTTATTAATGAAAGAATGGTTAATAACAATAACAGCATAATAATAACAATAATAATGCTAATACTACCACTATTACTACTACTACTACTACTACTAATAATAATAATAATAAATGTATTATTATTATTATTATTATTATCATGTAACAATATTAACAATTAATAATAATCGTTAGTAATATAGTAGTAGAAATAATATATTACGTATATTAATAATAATAATGAGTATCATTATTATTAACAATATAAATAATAATAATAATTAGTAGTAGCAGTAGTAGTAGTTATATATTATTGTCATATAAAGAAAATATTATTATTATTATTATTATTATTATTAATGATGATAATAATAATAATAGAAAATAATAAAAAATAATATGTTAATAAATAATTTTGGAATTGGAATAACTTGCAAACATTTGTTGTAAGTTAATGAAGTGTATATTGTAGCTCTAGCTATCGTTATTTTCAGATCCTAGCAATAGATTTCGAAACCTAAACGTCAAAACAAAGCGTCATAAACAATAACATCAACAAGCGCAAAGAATCAGGCGTGTAAGAGGCGGGGCCTGTCTGACGTCACGATGACGCCACCGGAAGTTGCGTCAGCTGATAGCAGGAGAAACACATCAGCCTCCAGCGATCAAAGGTACACATTTATCGATAAAATATTCAATATATCGTATTTTAATCAAACGGACAGAGAGGAAATGTTGTTGAAGATGATGTTAATTTTATTTAGATGCTGTTTTAGGCAACATACAGTAGCGGAGATGGATAACAAACACGAGTTTCTTCAGCATGCTCGGTTTAAATGTAGGCTAGTTAATAATAAGGAGAATTATGAAACGTTTACACATTAATACGCTTACTCTATGTCTGTGAGTGTTTTCCGATGATTGTTTGTCAGCCATAGTAGTTTGTACAAGACGGACATTATGCATTTATCCAGATCTTCTACTAAAAGCGCCTCTAACTGACTTTTTTATTATTATGTAATCCTTAAGATGTTTTAGATCATCGCTATCTTATATATATATATATATATAATGTCATGAACACTATTAATAATTAATAGTAGTGTATTATGTAGTTTAATAATTATTTAGAATTTTAGTAGTATTTGTGTAACGTTCCTGTATAATACTTCCTGTATAAAAATATATTTAATGTTAATTAGTGAAAGAATGATTAATAACAGCATAATATTAGTAACAATAATAATTAATATTAGCAGTAGTAGAAGTAATATATTATGTATATGAATGTCTTATAATAATAACAATTAAATATTACTATCTTCATTTATATTATTAATAAATCATATACATAATTAAAAAATAATATTTATTTAATATTTTTATACATATTATTTAGAAATATTGTTAAGAAGAAGAAAAAGAATAATAAATATACATGCAAATATAAAATGAATAAATATTCCCTATAAAATATTGTTTGTGCTGTTCACCAGCTCAGATATGTCTGTATCTCTGTCATCTCACTCAAGCACAGGATGTCTGCCTACCCCAAATCCCACAATCCTTTCGCCGATGATGATGACGAAGAGGACTCGAAGCCTCGAAGAGGCTTTAACTTTGACGACGATCCGGAGGAGAGTTCGCTGAGTCCGGCGGAGAGACGGCAGAGACAGCTGCAGCAGGAAGTGATGCGCACAGCACAGTCGGCCGTGGACAGCAGCCACCGCTCGCTCGGACTCATCTACGAATCGGAGAAAGTCGGAGCCGAGACGGCGGAGGTGTGAGGAAGCGCTTAGAGACTGAGCTTTAGAGGATTCTGTCTCTCTTGGCTGTTTCATTGAAATGGCTGTGTTGTCCTCCACAGGAACTGATTCGTCAGGGTGAGGCTTTGAAGAGGACAGACAGGATGATTGACAACATGGAGCAGGACATGAGGACGAGCCAGAGGCACATAAACACCATTAAGAGTGTGTGGGGTGGCATGGTCAACTATTTCAAAGGCAACCCTGAACCTCCCAAACCTGCTCAAAAGGAGCAGCCCGTGTCCTACGAGGCCAACAGCAGGTCAGATGAAATACTCAGCCAATGTTAGGAGCTTTTAGACGTTTACATGCACTGAAACACGGTATAACAGCACAATGTTCCTGTAATGTAATGCATTTTTGCTAAAAAAAAAAAAAAACGTATGCATTTATAAACAGGGTTTCTGCAGGTTTTATTAAGATATATTTACAACTTTCAGAAAATTTAAGGAATTAGTAATATTAGCAACACTTCAAAGTTTTAAAAAATCCAACTAATCTCGATTACTTTTTAATCCAAATTCATTTTAATAATAAAAAAAGCCCATGGCTCGAATAGCTCTGCTCTTAAGCACTCAAATAACTTTTATTTACCTTCTGATCATACTGCAAAAAAAGTGATGTTCTTTATCTGTATTTTTATCTTGTTTTCCAGTGCAAATGTATAAAGATTCTTAAATCAAGTTACATTTACTTGAGAAATAACATTATTTAAGATATTAAGTAATATTAATTGAAATGATTAAAACAAGAACAAATATCAGCCAGTGGGTGAGAAAAATCAACTTTATTCAAAGGGAAAACAAGTTTTCATTCCCCACAGATGTTTGCTCTTGTTTTAAGCATAAACTCACTTCATTTTGTTCAGTTTCTCAGAAAACAAGACTTCATATCTTCCTTTTGCATCCCCAGAATCTTGATTTAAGCATGTTTAGATATTTGTACTGGAAAATAAGAACATCATTTTTTGCAGTGCGTGCAACATTTAACACCGTGACTTTATGAATCTGACTTTCAGTTCTGATTTAAGGCCATCATTTGTGGGAACTGCAAATCAAGGATTTTAAGACCTGGAAAAACCCTGATGATAAAAAAAAATCGCATACTAAACTCAAGCATTCAAGCAAAAGCCTTTAGATTTAATGTGAAAACGAAGCTGTGATGTACAGTTCATTCAGCTGACAAAACACTGAATGTAGTTCCCAAAAAATTAATATGGAAAAAACTTTTGTATCATTGTAAACATTAGACAAGATCCAAGACACATTTGTTTAGATTCACATCAACTCAGATATACTGTAGGTCAGAGGCCATATCTGAACAAGTACAACGTTTCTGAATATTATAAAACAACAAAACTAATTTTGTGAATGTCTGATGATGTTAGGTTACAGAATGCGCTTGTGGAGAGCAAACAGCAGGAAGACAAATATCAAGCCAGCCATCCCAACCTCAGGAAACTGGACACATCTGGTAAACACAGACACATGATGATGCACTTCCTAACTCATGCATACTTATATACACTGTACATTACTTATACACCTACAGGATGTTTATCCATGTTCCTTTGAGAGTCAGTATTACCTAGTGATGAGAGAAACCAATTTGCATAATGAGTCACTGTTTCAAAGCACAAAACAGTGTAAATGCAACAAAAACCTGCATTAAAAAGACCTTTTACAAACCAATTGCGAATGTTTTTTTGAAAGTGTAATTATTAAATGCAATTAACAAATCATCTGATACCATTAAATATGAAGTGTGTGTATAACGTATATTTTTAAGCAATGTTTTTACTCAGAAAGTTCTCTAATGGATGATATATAAAAATGGAATAATCTTACTTTTTTTTTTAAATCAAATACTGAAATGAAAATTCTATATATTGATGCGAGTTGATTATGAGTTGTGGTTTTTCATTTCTACTGTATGTTAATACTATTTATTACTTTTCAAACACATAAAAACAGCCATAGATACTGGCATGGCAATAAAAACAAACAAATAATGTGTAATTTTATCAATTTGTAGGGCGTTTTGGTTTGTTTTATGGTTAATCAGCTCAACAAGAGACTGTTAACTAAAACTCTTTCTTTTAATTATACAAATACATTACTAAAATGTCTACAAATTGATAAAACTTGCCTGAAATCAGGAAAGCACCATATAGACACTGGTTCATGGGGGGATCGTTCCCTCTTGGCAGTGAACCTTTGAAATACGGAGATGTTTCAAAACAGCCTCGTTTACTGAAATCGCAGGACTGTGGCAGTTTGATACACGCTTTGAATCTCTAGTTCGAAACAAATGATTCTCAAAGGTTTCGAAGCTTCTCCAACTATTAGCAGTTGTCAGCTCATCAGAGTCACTAATGTTGGTTTGAACAGGATTGGGAGCGTCTGCTTCGCTGGATAACGGGCCGTCCGATCAGAACGGGTATCCCAAGAACACACATCTACGGGCCGCCCATCAACAGCTGGACAGTAACCTCGGTGAGTAACACAAAACAGTTTTCTCTCGTACCTTAACGGGATCACACCGGATCTGAACGTGCGTTTGTGTCCTGCAGATGACATGTCGATGGGTCTGGGTCGTCTGAAGAACCTGGGTCTGGGGCTGCAGGCCGAGATCGACGACCAGGACGTTTCTCTGGACGCTTTGCTCAATAAGGTCGACACGATGGACGGC